CCTCGACGCTACGCGGTGATGGGCGGAAACTTGGTCACATGCAAGTCTGATTGGGGCTGGCTGTCACAGATAAAATGTGAAAAATGTGGTACGAAATCTTATATACTTTTTATATAATATAGAGCTAATTAAAACTGACACGAAACTGACAACAACTATAACTGACTACTAGTTTTGTGCGCTGCATCCAAAATCAGCGCACTTACTATTTTCTAAAAGCATTCAAAACTAGCCCTACACTCTTTGAAAATTAAACTTGGTTTGTAATTGAAGCCAAGGTCCTGAAAGCAAATGGTAATGCATTTCCTTAATAAGTCGCAGTTAAAATACGTGATTATCATGCCTTATAAAGCAAAACTGGGGTATTATTACTATTAGCTTTATAAGGCATGATCCGCGCAGCGACCAATAACAGCCCCTAGAAACAGGAGAGCCGAGGGGGGTTCCAGTACTCAGAGGAAATGAAGGATGAACTGAGAACTAAGAATCTTCCTCTCAAGTAACAGTTATTCCTGTGGTTACCACGCGGTAAGATACTTGTTCCCCACTTCTTTTCCACCTCTCTTGTCAGTAACTTTTACGATTAAGAATAGCTGCAATTTTTATAGAATTATTTCACTCCTTTTTTCTGTTTACGTTTTCTATTAATTTTTAGGGTAGTCCCATAAGATTAGTTCAAACAACACCATGTCGCAGCCAAAAAAATCTTTAGAAGTCTGAGCAAGTGTACTTAAATTTCAAGTGACAACTCATGAGACAACTTTCACGCGAGGTTACTTTAGCTTTATGTTTAGAGACTGTCTTATAGAAAGGTGCCGCGTTTCCGCAGCACCCGCTACCACAAATTATATGCCCAGAGTAGGACGATTTGTCCTAACTGCAGATTTCATCTAACCGCTGTGCAATGGAAAGACTCCGCCCGGAGGAAAACCCAAGAAGATCGGTTTTAACCTCGACATCAGGTAAGTATGCTTCGATTTGTGCAAAGTAGGCATACTATGTTCGTCTTAAAATATTTCCTTGTGTTTAGAATTAGATATTAAGATTGCCATATTTCGTAGATGTTTTTTCACCTAAAACACCCTCACAAGAATTAACCACTGAATCGAAATGAGTGCCGTTATTATATAAAATTTACAAAAAGTTATCCACAGTTAAGATGATCAGATAGTCTTTAAAATTAGATTTTAACAGGCACATTACAAATCGTTACAAATCGTTACAAATAACATAGTGCAGTTCGCCTTTATATCACTATCATGATCACAATGAACACTCAAGGATGGAATTTATATAGCATGCTAATTGCTAGCCTTACAGCTCGAAAAATTAAATAGTTCAGTTTTAGCGGCAAATTTGAAATATTATTACCGTCTATTATTATCACTACATCTACACAAACTAACTTAAACATTGTTTTTAGAATGTAGTAGCCCGTCGTTTTCGCCTAACCTGATAACTTCCCTAAAATGAAGTTTTAAAACATATCTTTGTTCATTAATAAGCTTTTTTCCCAGCCAGGATATCATCAGAAACGCTGTCGTCATCTGAATACTTCACAGCACAGCCAAGCTATCTGTTTGGCTTTGTTATACCTTGTGACTAGCAGTGATTGCTACAACTAATAGACTTCTTTCTAGAGGTGTGTTTATTGTTTAGTAAGTTATGACAATTTAGGGTTTTATAGGTTGTTTTAATGCTCCAGCCGGCAAGTATTATGACGAAATTTGAAAAATTCCACTGCTTTCAGAAAAAAGTTGAGGCAGTTTGTCTTCAGAACTCAAGTGACATTCGAACACTTCACCTCTCACCAGACAGCTTTAGTGGGTAATCAGACCATTTTTAAATCCAGACAAAGACACCGCAAATAACTCTGCTTTTGAGGACATTTTTGTAAAAAGCTTTTCTCATTGTAATCAGTCATAATTCACAATATTAACTTTCATTGTTGTAGATCGGGACCTGATTTAGTCGCGTACTACTATTTGTTGATTCTTTCAAGTAGAACTTTTTATTATTTCTTTTCTTATTGTTTCTGTCAGATAAAAGTTCGAGCCTCGAGGTTTAACTAGCTTTTAAGGATTTTACGGGATAACTTGACCAAAAGTTATAATTTGTGACGGTCACAGGTCACAAGCAGCCTACGTGAACGTAACATTGTTTTAAGAGTTGTGATTAAAATAAGATAATAGAAATGATATTTATGATACTATTGCATTGTATAGTATAGTACGGCAAACAACGTAATATCCATACTCTTAATAAACCCAACAGATGTATTCGATTTATAGTGTTGTATTTTATTAATGTGTTTTCAGCCATTAACATTCAAGTGCTTGTTGGAATTCCCAGTACAGTAAAAGCCCGATTAACTGCAAACCCCGAAGATAAAAGTGACTTTTTCTGAAAATTTAATTTTTAACCTGACCCGTACAGCTCATGTACTGGACTCAATGTAAGCTCGTTACTGCCTCTCCAATCACATAAGTATGTTCTCGTATAACGCCTTCTCTATTGTGATGCTAGACAGAACTTTCCTATGACAGATACGCTGCTAATTAAAGACAGCAAGAATTTAATTTCTGATATTTTTATACTATTAAATAACCGAATGTTATCTTGACACTATCAAAAATATCACTTAAATGGATCTCAGGCCTTCCTTACCCACTCTTCTTTGATCAATTTTGGACCCGAAAACCGAATCCCCGAATTTACCGCGGGTTTTTCCTTTCCCCGAAATCGGGGTTTAACTGTACAAGTTAAAGTTTTATTCGAATTGTAACTCAGTAAATTCTTTAAAATTAAAATGTTAGGATGCTCACTAATCTGCTTACAAATTAGTGAGAGTTATTTCCGGAACTTTTCCGGAACTTGTCCAATACAGTTCGGTTCAAGTTAAAAGGAGCTGTTCTTAACATGAGAAGTGAATGTTATCTACAATTATTAAGGAATACAATTTTAACATAAAACTATCAACTTGTCGTCAATTTATCTATTTACATAATATGTCATGAATAACTTAAAATTTATATGAATTATTTCAATTTATATGAAATATCAATGCATGACTTAGCGTTGCACTGTTAAAACTAGTACCTAAGACGGTTAAAAACAAATAGGGATAATAACATCAATGGAAGATATGATAATTAACCAGTACCTAAAACTATCCCCCGCACGTTAACGGATAGTATAATAAGTATAATAGTGGTACCGTGGTTAATAACAGTGCAGTAGTAGTTTAACACTTAGTAATATTTTGGTACAGACTTGTTATCGCTTCATAGCACGCTCAATGGTTCGCTTTAAAACTGGTCACTTTGCTTAGGAGGGGCCGGCGTTAAGTTTGCTAATTCTTGCAGAACATCAAATTTCAAATTTTGACGATAAACTTAGTCATTTTATTTTAGGTATTATTGAATGGGTTACTCCACGCCATTTAAATAAGACAGAAGATTTCTTTGATTCTAAACCTAGATCAGATATTTTAAGTATTTATCTATGATATGCTTGCAACTAGATAGTAGGCATACTTGTAAGGCACTGCACACCACCAGTGCGGTTATGATTCTGTTTGTTTGTTCATTTAATGTTGCTTATACTGTTTGGAAATTATCAGTATCCATTGACCTTGCTTGTCTTTGTTATCTTATAATTTACTTAAGTTAACACGACAGATAATTAACGTAGCAGCTAGTGAATAAGTTGAACTGTTGTACGTGCTATTTGATTCTGATTATTTACAGACAAAGCTCGTAATCTTTCTGAGTTCAAGAAGCAACGTAATCAGAATAATTTGCAATCAAGCTAATAGGTAACATAAACAAAAGCTTATTCGTGCTATTTAACTCTTATTAATTAGTCCAGTATATTTCAAGTTACACTAAATTTTTTAATTAGTCGAACTAATTTATGCAGATATGAACCAGAGGCAACATGTATTATATGTAGGTGCGGCAATATTTTGTTAATAGTGCGATTCCGCACCTCCCCAATAAGTTTTTATGTACGGCAAATTTAGAGACAAAAACACCGAACAATTCGCCAAATTCGCAGCCTTTAAGTACTCTCAGGTTGGATTATTCAATATAGCGTAGTATATAACGTTGCGATTGTTATGTTTAACACGACAATTTATATTAATCTAAGACAATTAATTTACAATGTGTCTTAGTAATGTCTTACGCTGAGTTTTGTGCCAATTCAAGATGTATGAACAAGCTTGTGCTGAGCATATTTGAAGTAGAGTATTCAATATTATTATAACTTTATAACTTTACAAAATATGTGTATATTGTACAAACGACTAAGGTGAGACAAAGTGACTCAATTTCAATCTGGTTGCGATCCATCTTGACGAATTATTTATTTGCCTAGATTCGCCCTCATTTGTTTTTTAAAATTAAATATCGATAGTATATTGTTTTTCTTGATTTTTCATTCTACATTCCGATGTTTTTAATGTTACATCATTACATGAAAAAAAGTTTGGCCCTAACCATACTTATGGGTAATCCGATAATGGGTATGTCGATCACTGTACACAGCAATACCAAGTTAAAGTACACAAATCTGATAATAAGAATAACGGCCGATGGTGTAACAACGGTTCAGTATTAGTTCAATAGTGCGATTCCGCAATCTGTACCCATCGCACTTATATGTTGTCTTTGAAATGAACACTGTATTTGAACGAAGGCGGTTTATATCATCTGCAAGAGAGAGAGAGAGAGAGATCATCTGCAAGCACATCAAAGCTATTTGATAGTTCATTTTTTGAGTCTTCGCTTTAAAAAAGTTAACTCAACAAGATATTTTATATATGCGCATGAAGCTGAGCTTGCTCTTCACGCACATTATCACGCAAACCTACAAACATTGAGGCAGTTAACTGTTAACTGTATCGTATTTTGTTTTCAAACTGATAACTGGCAACTGCGTCAGATACTTTACTTCAGTCGTCCCTGAAACATTCTAAAACTATTGTTTTGTAATGACAGATCCCAACAATGACGCTGATATGAGTGTAACACGTGACCTCCAAAGTAACCCTGGAGGACCAGAAGAACTGTCAGACTTCATCCTCCCCGATCTGATAGACTCCCCAGTGGACAACTACAGAGTGGCTATATCAGGAGCTCTGGTTATAGACCAGGGAACGCAAACTACAGCAGCTGATCCGGTGGCGAGAAGGGGGGTTAAAACAGCTACCCCCACAAGTGTAAAGGGAGCTACCCCGACAAAGGGGGCTACCCCGACAAAGGGAGCTACTCCCACCAGTTTGAAGGGGGCTACTGACTCGGATATAGCTACATCAGCCCTGGAAAGATGGGCAAAGAAGTGAGTTAGTGTATCACAATGGGTGCCATATGTTTTCGTCATTCCTTTGTGATAAAGCGGCTATATCTTTACAGTTTTATCGTATTTATATTATCTTTAGTCCAGTCAATATATTTGGAAGACAATTAGTCTATTTGAAAGTACCACTGATTTCTTATCTACTCAATTTGATTGGTTTCCATTGATTTATATTGGAGCTCAACTTTAATAATAGCATTCATTAACCTTTCCTTTGTTAAAATTACGGTACTTGAGTACTTTTTGAACGGTGATAATAATAGAACAATACCTGCGTGTCGACTGAGTACTATCTTTGAAACTTAAATAACTCCTAACCTGTTCACTAATATAATATGTCTACTGGTGAGTGTACCTTGACAATCTCAGCAATCTTTCTTTGGTACTGTGCTTTGTATGTTGCCGTTTCAAAAAACAAACGTACATTTTACGCACTATTGTCTATTATATAATATCCGCATGATTTGCTTACTTCTTAATCACATTTTTATGTAAAGAAATATTATTCAGTCAAAGTCAAACATATTAACAAACTTTTAGTAGAAGTTGTCATAAACTTGTTCTGCCTTCAGTTTTTATGTTCCCTTAAAAAATTTTGAAGCAGCTCTATTCACTGAAGCTATTACAAGCCAAGTGTCCAGCAGCTTGTGTAACGCCACACTTGACAGCAGCTTGTGTAACGCCACACTTGACAGCAGCTTGTGTAAGGGGAAATGGCGGATTCTAGGAAGGTTGCCCACACATTATACAGAAGTTACAAGAGTTCTGCTCCAAGGCGCTCGAGTACCCAAAGTAAACCCACACCAAAAGAACCATCAGATTTTATTCTACCCGACCTGATAGACTATGAAGCAGTTCATCCAGTAGTTAAAGAAAAATCTGTACTTAAAAGAGCACATCATAGATTATTCTATTCTAGTGCTGACAACGCTTCAGCTACCTCAGCCTTAGCTAGATGGGCTAGATTGATAACTATGTCAAGGAAGTTAGTCATATAACAATATAATATTCATTATTACCATTAATTAGTATTATTAATTAGTATTACTAATTAGTATTATTAATTATTACTATTAATTAGTATTATTAATTATCAGTAATATGAACAGTATTCGTGTTATAGTATTAGAATGTAAAGGGGGTGGTGGTCATGGTAATTAAGGGGGTGGTGGTCATGGCCATTAAGCCCCCAATGTCGGTGCAAAGATTTCAGCATCATGATTAAATATTTGAAAGTACAAAATACAACCCTCAAAAGTAAGTTTTCATGGTTCCGTCAAATAAAGAGAGAGAGAGTGAACAGGTAACTTTCTCAAGGTCCTCCACCTTTTTTATGCAGCCAGTTAATTGCATTTCAAGTTTACTTCAGATATCAGACATCTAAAAATACACCAACAGCAAGACACAGTGCCGACCACAAACCAACAAAAGGTATGCTATTTGGGACCATCTCGTGTCACCATGCAATGTCTTCCATCTTTTAGTTATCATTGACAACTAACCTTATTCTTCTAGTTATCATTGACAATTAACCTTATTCTTCTAGTTATCATTGACAATTAACCTTATTCTTCTAGTTATCAGTGACAATTAACCTTATTTATAAAAACATCTTTTGAACTGATAATATAACAAATTATTTGGGAAGCATTTCTCATTTCTGTCCCATCATCCTGATTTTTTTTTATAGAATTCCTCTTACATACCTCTTACATACCTCTTACACATCGACCTAAGTTAACAAACTCTTCTTCTCAGAGAGAAAACAATCCATCGCTGATCAAAACAGTCCAAGACATAGGTAAAAATAACTTCGGTTAGATAATCGGACACTTGATGGTAGCATTTATTCTACTGGAGAGGACCTTATTGAAATTAATGACCCTGTTATCTAATATATGCTATCTAATACAACCAATGATTCCCACAGCGCAGGGTCCAGTCCTGTGAGCACTAAAAGGAGGAATAGTCACCAAGGTAACCATGATGCTAACCTTGGTAAGTCCTCTCCCTGCCCTTCCAACGCCTCCAAATCTGAACAAACCGGACCGAAAACACTTAAAACCAAGATATACGACATCTTGGAGAATCCGGAGACTGGTTTGGTGAGCAAATCTAAAGATTAAATACTGGAATTTTGATGATGAAGCCTATATTGTTATGCATTAGCAGTCAACTAAAATCTGACTTAATTAAAGACATGTTTGATCAGGTAGCTCAGACTTTTAGTTGGGTAAGCATGGGTCTTATTGTACTCTCCGTGGCAACATTCATTGCGGAAACTATGCCCAAATTCAGAGCGGACCTTAAAAAGGTAAGAATTTTATCAAAGTTCAGCTCAGTTGCCCAAAATTAAGACACTAAATTAGCTACAAGTACAAGTATAACGGTAACTAGGATATGCTGAAAGTTGATGAATTTAACTTGATCGACTTTGTGTAGCGTTACAACACTATAATAGTGGAGCTGGATGGCAGTAAAATAATATTTAACTGGTTTCTATCTCCCAGCCCTGGTATACAACTAATACTGGAATGTTCTTCTTCGGTTCCGAGACGTTCTTTATCGCATTCTTCACTCTGGAGCTGCTCGGGAGATTTCTCTCGTGCCCTAATAAGGTCAGTGGATGGTGGTTCTTAATGATCTCGTATACGGAATATTATTTAGATAGGACATTGCTTGTGAAAAAAACCTGTGAAATATATTATGATTAATTAATCACAGTCTTCCCAATTCAACGAGATGTGTCCTTGATTAAAAAACCTAATATACAGCGTAATTTCAGAAAGGATTTGCGAAAAATCCTCTGAACATTATCGACCTGATATCTATTCTACCTTACTACGTAGAGCTTATGGTCCCAAAGGTTTGTTTGGTTCCAAACACAATGAGTTTTTTTTTAATAACTTTCTTTTAACAGAAAAATAATTTACCTATCATTTAGCTGAATAATAGTGACGACTTGACAGTGACGACTTGACAGACTTAAGGTATTTAGCCTCGAACCGCCAATTGTGGAGAAATTTATTTTAAATTTGTTTAGTTCGATAACTTCAGTTTTAAGTTCAATTTTTTGCATAATTTTTGATTTTGATAAGTTCAGTTTTAAGTTCCATTTTTGTATTTATAGTAAGTTTTCAGTTCTACAAGTCTTTTAAGTAGACTTATCAGGTCTTTAGGATGTTCTTAGTAACTACTTTGGATTTGTGTAAAGTTTGATAATAATATAATAATCATTTAGCTAACAATTCAGTTATAAGCATTTAAAATCAAACCTTGACAGAGTGACGATGGTGAAGGGGTGAGTTTACGAATTTGACAGAAAACAGATAAGGAGATATTTTTAATGCTTAATTCCTTTATTTAAACAAATAAATCTTGCAGCTGAAGGCTTATCATACTTTGATTCATGAAAATCATGACTTTAATTATTAACGATCCGTATATCAAACATTGACCTAAGAATCCAGCTGCCTGCTACTCATCATCACAACAACTTTCTAACAATATCTCTAAAAACAGACCCCTTTTCTCAGAGCAGTAGCTCCATGACGTCATCTCTGGTTGTTCTGCGTGTTCTGCGCTTGTTCAGAGTGCTCAGGATATTCAAGCTAGGTCGCCATAGCAACAACATGATAGCGTTTGGGATAGCGCTGAGGGGCAGTATGATGGAGCTGATGTCTCTAGGTCTCTTCCTTGCTATTGATATTGTCGTCTTCGCCAGGTTAGTCTTATCTCTAGGTCTCTTCCTTGCTATTGATATTGTCGTCTTCGCCAGGTTAGTCTTATCTCTAGGTCTCTTCCTTGCTATTGATATTGTCGTCTTCGCCAGGTAAGTCTTATCTCTAGGTCTCTTCCTTGCTATTGATATTGTCGTCTTCGCCAGGTTAGTCTTATCTCTAGGTCTCTTCCTTGCTATTGATATTGTCGTCTTCGCCAGGTTAGTCTTATCTCTAGGTCTCTTCCTTGCTATTGATATTGTCGTCTTCGCCAGGTTAGTCTTATCTCTTTACATAAAGGAGCTTTTTCTTTATCAAATAATAACAATCATGAGAGACAGTGCAAAGAGCTGGAGGAAGAATTTGTTTTGTAAGATTTTACAGCGCGTGGACGATCAAATCCAAGAAAAGAACTGTACTTGCAAGAAAATCATATATAATAATGTTTGTGTGTCCCGGTATAAACGATTGTATTATCAGCAAGAGTAAAATAAATTTGTAAATTTGTGGAAGAAACACGTCACAGCACTCTTGTCTAACCCCCTCCCCACCCCAGCGTGTTGTATTACTGTGAGATGAAGGACGATGGTAGTATTGCTATAGATGATCCCAACAACTTCTCAAGTATCCCAGCATCCTGCTGGTGGGCTGTAGCGACTATAACTACTGTTGGTTACGGTGATATGTACCCTCGCACTTGGCTTGGCAAGATATTTGGTAGTTTCTGTGTTTTTAGTGGCATTCTTGTGATTGCCTTTCAGGTGCCCATCATCGTGGCAAAGGTTTGTTTACTTCCTTCCTCTTTAAAAAACAGTTGTGATCATTATTTTCTTATCTCTTAAAACGATCAATTAGCTTGTCCATCAACAAGGCCATCAATTCCTTACTAAAAAATGATTGTCTAGACATGATATTACAGTAAGTAGGTTTACGATAGTGATAATATCAAATATCATAATAATAATATGTACTAGTTACTAACTTAATTTTGTACAATATAAAGATAATAAAATAATAATATTCAGTTCACGTGGACCTACATGCAAGTAAACAAGATGTCAGACGAAGACACAATGGAGTCTGTGGAGGAAGAGGATGACTCAGAGCAAGAAGATAGCAAACCAGATCAGTAGTAACACTGTCACTTCCAAACCAGATCAATAGTAACGCTGTCACTTCATGATCTGTCACTTCGGTCATTCTTGAGACGTTATTCAAAACATGGTTTATTTTGTTGTGGCAGTGCCAAACATATGTTCAGATAACTTTGAAATGGACAGTGATTACAATATGAATAGTGAATACCATTCTTCGCTTCTTCGGGGTACATTTAGTAATAGTTGTTGTTTTCTGATATTAATTTTATCGCGTTTACACTTGTTAATTAATTATAATTTCTTTAATCTGAAGGTGAGGCATGAAGAAAATACCAGGATTGAATTATTCATTATACAGATTTACGTTAAACTTTTGTTTTTAAACGGATTCTAAAGAAATTTCAGACGAACAGCGAATGAGATTTAATGAGAAATATACTTAAATTCCGTGTAAAGCATATTTTATTAATGGAAATATAATCGAAAATATAATCGATTTATTTACATTTCAATAAATTAATCGATCAATTAAGGTACTTACCCTAGTAGGGTTAAGCATGTTCTGCTCTGCTAGGTCCACTTTGGTTAGTACAAATATCGTCCTCTTCCCTTTAGGGTCATGTGCCTGGTAACAGACATAGTATCGGAACAGTTTAACATCCAGTACATAGTGCTCGATGAACTTAAAACTTGTGGTGTAGTGCTGCAAATGTTTTACGTCTCGAATTTTAACATCGATTATAAACGAATTTGTTTTCTTTTTATCACAAGCTAATTGGCCAATTTATGTAGTAAAATGTTATATAATGTACCTGAACGATGTTAGTAACATTGCTACGTTCTGCGTCTATACTGCCGTCTTGTACACAGAGTATAATAGCGTTAGGGTTTCTCATGAACATAGCAGCCATCTCCGTGAGAGCTTCCTTTGTTTTGGGCATCATCCCTCTCGTCTCAGTCTGGAGAGTGAACACGTGATACTCTTATACTACACGTGATACTCTTATACTACACGTGATACTCTTATACTACACGCGATACTCTTATACTACACGTGATACTCTTATACTACACGTGATATTCTTATACTACACGTGATACTCTCATACTACACGTGATATTCTTATACTACACGTGATACTCTGATACTACACGTGATACTCTTATACTACACGTGATACTCTGATACTACACGTGATACTCTTATACTACACGTGATACTCTCATACTACACGTGATACTCTTATACTACACGTGATACTCTCATACTACACGTGATATTCTTATACTACACGTGATACTCTTATACTAACAGTAAAGTTTGTATTATTATATTGATTTGTAGAACTAGAACTTAAAATTTGTTAATGTTTTAGAAAAATGGCATGGTGCCAATTTGAGAAATGTCGGTATTAAACAATCCAAGTTAATAATACACATTCCTGAGATCATGCGTGACACGTCAAACACCTTCAATCAGTGTACAATATGCCAACTACATACTACAAACTACACAGTACATCTCCCAACATAACTACACGGTTAACAGCCAAGAGTAGACACACTAAGCCATGAGTCTCATTTCCAATGTCATGATCTTAAGACGGTTTGTGACCGATCCAAGGTGAGAATAGAATTAGTGAGACTCCACTTTTACAACAAATCGTCGAAAAAATACTCAATATGTAATTTAGAAGTAAGTTACTGACGCTGATAATGCCAGGAAGGTCCACAAGCACCATCCTGTGTAGTCCAGGACCCTTAACAGTCAGGGAGATAACTTCAGAGCTGACCGTCTCGCCTGGTTTCAGGTTCTTCGTCATCCGTCCTTCTACTGCTGCTCTTAATTCTTTTAGCTGATTAAGGGATTGTGGTTTACTTTTGCACACTAGGAATATACCATATTTTGAATTAGAGACCAAAGGTAATAATCAATAATTATGTTGTAATTAAGAAATAAAAGGTATTTTAATATGAAAATGCGTGTCTGTACAAACTAGTTTTATCATATATTCTACATCAGAGGTTCAACAAGTATGTAACATACCTCTGCCTCGGAAGAGAGATCGAATACCCTGTCATCTCCATTGAACTGAGCAGTATGTCGGTTCCCCTCCCCAAGTGTTACTTGTACTGGAGACCTTGTCATCATCTCACCATGCCCTCTGAGACATATTTATTATTCAGTTTAGTTGGTCATCGTTCAAAAATATTCTATCATCTCCTGAACATTCTAAAATATCCTAGCCCTGACTATCATCTCCATAACACTAGTTTTCTAACCTGGGGAATATCCTAGCTCTGACTATCATCTCCAGAACACTAGTTTTCTAACCTGGGGAATATCCTAGCTCTGACTATCATCTCCAGAACACTAGTTTTCTAACCTGGGGAATATCCTAGCCCTGACTATCATCTCCAGAACACTAGTTTTCTAACCTGGGGAATATCCTAGCTCTGACTATCATCTCCAGAACACTAGTTTTCTAACCTGGGGAATATCCTAGCCCTGACTATCATCTCCAGAACACTAGTTTTCTAACCTGGGGAATATCCTAGCCCTGACTATCATCTCCAGAACACTAGTTTTCTAACCTGGGGAATATCCTAGCCCTGACTATCATTTCCAGAACACTAGTTTTCTAACCTGGGGAATATCCTAGCCCTGACTATCATCTCCAGAACACTAGTTTTCTAACCTGGGGAATATCCTAGCCCTGACTATCATTTCCAGAACACTAGTTTTCTAACCTGGGGAATATCCTAGCCCTGACTATCATCTCCAGAACACTAGTTTTCTAACCTGGGGAATATCCTAGCTCTGACTATCATCTCCAGAACACTAGTTTTCTAACCTGGGGAATATCCTAGCCCTGACTATCATCTCCAGAACACTAGTTTTCTAACCTGGGGAATATCCTAGCTCTGACTATCATCTCCAGAACACTAGTTTTCTAACCTGGGGAATATCCTAGCCCTGACTATCATCTCCAGAACACTAGTTTTCTAACCTGGGGAATATCCTAGCCCTGACTATCATTTCCAGAACACTAGTTTTCTAACCTGGGGAATATCCTAGCCCTGACTATCATCTCCAGAACACTAGTTTTCTAACCTGGGGAATATCCTAGCCCTGACTATCATTTCCAGAACACTAGTTTTCTAACCTGGGGAATATCCTAGCCCTGACTATCATCTCCAGAACACTAGTTTTCTAACCTGGGGAATATCCTAGCCCTGACTATCATCTCCAGAACACTAGTTTTCTAACCTGGGGAATATCCTAGCTCTGACTATCATCTCCAGAACACTAGTTTTCTAACCTGGGGAATATCCTAGCTCTGACTATCATCTCCAGAACACTAGTTTTCTAACCTGGGGAATATCCTAGCCCTGACTATCATCTCCAGAACACTAGTTTTCTAACCTAGGGAATATCCTAGCCCTGACTATCATCTCCAGAACACTAGTTTTCTAACCTGGGGAATATCCTAGCCCTGACTATCATCTCCAGAACACTAGTTTTGCCAGCACTCTGATCCCCGACCACCACTATCCGGGGTAGGTGGTCCTGTATCTTGTACGTGTTATCGTTATCAGACAGGGTGTCCAGCACTTCAGCGTACATGTCTATTATAGACTTCTGTAATGTTAAATATTATTGTACAATGTATAATAAGTACATGTCTAGTATATAGACTTCTGAGTTCTGTAATGTAAAATATTATTATGGCCGACACGAAATTTGGTTATGATTTGGTTATCATAAAAATAAAAATATTTTCACTGATAAGGTCGTCCAAAACAGATAAGTTGAGGATTGTTAATTTATTGGCTGTTAATGATTGCAGTGTACAGTGGAACTAAACGTGTACTTATAGGCGTGTCTGCTCAATTAGTGTACTTCAATCGAATGTCGGCGGTTACACAATAATCAGCTAATTACACAGTGCACATTGAGAACATAGATAGCTACTAAATAAAGCAATTATTAGTCATATATTAGACAAGTTGCAGACATTGTATAGCCGACCAACTGATTAAATGTACAATGTGCACTGATATAGTATTGTTGTTGTGACTGACCAGCTAACTCTACAGTTGTGCAAACTGCAGATTGTACAACAATATTATTTGCAGATAAAGAGACAAAATACTTTGCATTTTACGTGCGTAAAATGTTTAAATTACATTTTGTGACATAAAGCTGCAAAAATTGACGTGAATCAAAGCAAAACAAGAGGTAGCCTCTTTTCCCAACAAAGTTCTATGACAACATCTTGATTCTTGAAGGCCTTAATAATTAACAAATAAATTACCTTGACAGAGCTAGTTTTGAGATTAACAAATAAATTACCTTGACAGAGCTAGTTTTGAGATTAGAGTTCTTGACTAAGAACTTGAGCTGCTCGTTCTCACTACGGTACTTATCCAGTTCCCTCTTGTAGCTCTCCTGCAGCTTCAGTAGCTCCTTCCTCAACTCTGTTTCTGTTCTGTGCGAGTCCTGAGGGAGAGAGGAGAGAGAGTTAGACTTTACTTGGTACTTTACAAGACATGCTCAGAAGAATAGTTCACCAATCAGCATATCATTTATTCGTCATAAAAGAGAAACCCATAAGTGCACAAAACGCAGAGCAACTGAGGCAATCACATCACGTGGCGGTTTGAACACTTATAACTTATGTTCCTCAGTGCTATTTACTGTCCCGACAGTGGTTAACAGACCAGGGTTGAGATATTATCCAATAAGTACTCATTCTCCTATTTCCTAGCTAACAATCCTATCACACACATTATTATAGTTCATACAACAGGGGGGTGTATACATTATGTATACATGCTGGGAACATTGTACAAAGTATACATGCTGGGGCAGGGTACTTATAATTAATAGATTAGGTGTAGATACCATTCATTAGGAAACACACACCTCATACTTGTACCACTGTGTGGTAAAGATATCCTAGCATCTTACATAATATACATGTCATGAAAAAGTGAATTTATTGACAACAAATTCTTCTGATTTTGACTAGTTAATCATAAACTAGATGATCATTCCATTTTTATTGCTTAAATCGAAAGAACAATTAATCTAGATTTGAATATCTCTTCAGTTCAAAGAAGAAAAGGTTCGCTTCAAATCCTTACTGATTTATCAGAATTTATTTTGCTTTTGAGATCTTTATTTTCTTGAAGAAGTTCTTCAATTTGTAATGCTACCTGCCAGAGAAGTAATCACAAAAAGAGAAAATGAAGCAATTATATGATTATAATTGTTACGTAATTAAGATAAAGAGCGACTCCTGATCCTGCTAAATGCTATTTTGGGCAATTGATTTTAGGAAAGTAAAGCTAGCTCAAAGTAAAGCTCTCTCAACAGCAAAAACCCGAACGCCAAATTAAAATGAACTAATCTGAACTAATCTCACATGGAAACTAAATCTCACTTACATTTTGAGCTTCAGCAAGTTCTTCTTTAAGCCTTTCTTTTTCTTCCTGAAACTTTGAATCTTTTTCATTCATAGCTTCCTCCTTTGCTTTTATTTCTTGAGCAAGTTTTCCTAGTTCTTCTTGGTGCTTCAGATCTTTTTCCTGCAAGGAATAATAAATTCAATATTCAATATTATATAGATACCACGCTCATCAGACCCAAAAACGTGTAATTTTAATATAATTTAGGTAGGTTTAAAGATTTTAACACTCCTTAACATACTCTAAATCCGATGAAAATATTCTACAAAGTTTATGCTACATGAAGAACAGCAGGCCTGAAAAACGTCTCTCAGCTCACATTTTGCATTGAATCAAGCTCCTCCCGGAGTCTTTCTTTCTCCTTTAGCTCTTGAGAAAGTATGCCCAATTCCTCTTGATGTTTCAAATCTCTCTCCTGGAAGAAACGTCATGTTCATCTACAGCATCTTTGGAGCTTTGGAGAGGTGGGGTACATTGTCGTGAGGGTCCGGTTGTGGTGAGGGGTTGTGGTGACTGGTGACGTGAGAACAGTGTATTCAGTAGCATCCCGATTTACCGCAAAGTTTGGGGAAAGGAAAAATCCGCAGTAAATCGGGGGTCCACAGACCGCAGTTAATCTGTTAATCGGGGTTTTGTTTGTTTACAGGGGGGTGTCACGTCCGTCTATGTCCTGTCCTTTTTGGATTCTATGAGACAACGGACATTGGTGGACATTAGCGGACATGGGGTAGCTTAAAACATGAATAGAAATAGTTTCCAGAAAAAGTTTGAAAATTTTTGACTTGGAAAAATTTCAGTCCGAGTCGATCTCGATACGAACCTTAGAAGGCAGAGCTCCCGCTTCCGAGCTCGTGTTACAAAGGGGAAGCTTGCCTTCCGAGATCGCATAACAAAGGGGAACCCTCGAGTCCTAAATTGTAAATCGAACGGTAGGTGGGGACTTTGAAAACCGAAAAAATATTTTTGGCTCATAATGATCAGGGTAGCTTAAAACATGAATAGAAATAGTTTCCAGAAAAATTCCGGAAAATTTTCAGTCCGAGTCGATCTCCATACGAACTCGGACTGAGTCCGAGCCGGGTAGGTGCGGCCGGACTTTGAAACCGAAAAAAATTGTTTTTGTCCGAATAATTTTTAAGAGGTCTAAAGAATAAATATCTCACCAATATTCCCAATATTTAACTAAATCCAGTCACTAAATCCGGTCGCTAAATCCAGATCTCTATTTGTGTCGTCAACATATCTTTGAAACAGTTACACACTACACAGGGTACACACTACACAGTAGGCACAGTACCTATTTAACGAAATATAGGGAATATAACAGCAAAAATTGAACATTTTATTTAGCAATTTAGGTGTCCATTAATGTCCGCTAATGTCCGCCAAAGTCCGTCTATGTCCGCCAAAGTCCGTCTATGTCCGCCTATGTCCGCCTATGTCCGCCTACGTCCGCCTATGTCCTGTCCTGTCCTGTCCTGTCCAGTCCTTTTTGGATTCTATGAGACAAGCGGACATTTACACTAAACATGTTAAGCCCTATTAGGGGGGAAGGATGTGGCTGCAGTGAATCAGGGTTTTACTGTACTTAGTGAAGCTCATGGTGGTTTTAAAGATTTGTGTAGTTCTTCTAGGACTTTACCAAGATACTGAGATCATGAGTCAGCTTGAAAGTGATCATATCTATTGAAGACGATAATGACGTTGAAAATGGTGACGTTAAAGATGATGACGTCGAGGATTAACGTAAAAGAGCAGATGTATCCTTTACACATAGTGAGTTTTGAAATCGAATAATAAGTTTCTAGCGAATAAGTATTCTAGCCCCTGGCAGCTAGAGGTTATTTACTCTAATGAGGTTAAATAACAATCCACCTAGACAATGTAAACAAGTACAGATAACAAAAGATTACTGAACATAACAGTCATGTCTAGGTTGAATCAATTGAAACAATTCTCAAAACTCACATTTTGTGTTGCATCAAGTTCTTCCATGAGTCTTTCTTTCTCTTCTAGCTCTAGAGACAGTTTTTCTAATACTTCTTGATGTTGTACCAGTGTCTCCTGTAATCACATATCAATATAAAGAAGAGTAATTCAAATTTAAAATGTATTGAATATAATATTTCTATATTTTAATTAAATATATAAACATTAAATCAGGAATAGGATACATACATCAGGGATTGTACATTGAGAAGGCTCAGACTCAAGCTCAGGTAGTGGTACTTCCAACAAAACTGGACTGTCCATAACTTCTTGTATTTGTCTCTGAATATCTTGTGCTTCTTCGTCTATCTCTGGCTCTTCAATCTGGAGCTTAAGATTCTTGAATTGACATTTTTTAGCAATTCAACTATGTGTGAAAATTACTTCTTGTTTGACATAAACTGGCGTGAGACATATTAGATATAAAACTTGTAAGCTAATACAATATAAACAGAATCATTCCATTAGGAAAGAAACAGCTGAATTCTTGAAGTTATTGACAAATCTTTGAAGTAAGTTTTACAAAATGTCTCACAGGTTTGAGTGGTTGAAGGGGTGGTATAGCAGGGGTAACCTCGTCACCTGCGTTAGGGAGCAACATGTAGTTTCTGTGTAATCCTAAAGACATGGTGGGAGATAGAGCTTATGTATCTAACACACTATACACACAAACCTTATATAAACCTCTAAACATTACACGCATACAAATATTATATCACACAATGTTCATAGAATTATTGTAGTTAAGAAATATTTCCTCATGACATGCTCAGTCAAATTAAGATAAGCCACAAAAACAGCATAATGTTACAAAAATTATGTAGTGATTCTGCTAGATAATTTTACCTCCATTGAGAATGTCATTAAAACCAGCAACACTATCTCCGAATGAGTTTTTAAGCTCGTCAATTTTATCCAAGTAGCTCCTTCCTGTCAGGTATAAAGTGAACTCATGATACTGACACAAAATTGAAATACAATCTTCTTAATAAAAACCTCCAAAACTGAAAGTCTGACAACACAACGTCAATAGCCTTTAAAGTTTAAAATAAAATATTTGAAAGATGTCACACAACATTTAGAGATTTAGAAATCAAAATCTGTATCATGTGTACCGTAATGAGAGTAAGATCTAGCCGACATTGCAAGAGAGTTTAGTCCATCAGCCATTGTGTCATAGGGTAGGCTCAAGTTCTTTGAAACTTCACCATGCGTCTCATCAATCTTGTTGCTTACCTGTGAACACGATAAGATTTATAACCCAAATGTTATATAATATATTGCTTGATTAGTTGAATAAGTACATTGAAATATTTGCATGATATTACAAATACACTAAGCCATACAAGTACAACAGTAAGCGTTTCATTAAAAAGTGCTTTCTATAATTCAAAAATATAAAATTACAAACCACTTTCATGGCTCCAATTCCAGATGCAGCAAGGAAAACCCATTTCGATCCCTTCGTAGCTACTCGTCTAGAAAATGTTGAACCCTGCCTGCTCATTGCCAGCTGGCAGTTACGACCTTTGCCCAGCGATCTTTTGGCATTACAGTACATCTTTTATGATGATTATTGACATTGATCCCCTTTCCTGCTAATCTTTGGTTTAAACATATAATCATCAAATCAACTTATGTCAGGAAAATGAATTGCCTAATGAGTTACCATTTAACATTTTACTTCAAGCAGTAGATTTCAGAAGAGTTAGCTGAAAAGAAGACAAGATTCTATTATAATTTATTGATTATTATATTTATTGCAATAAACATATAATATCCATTACTCCAGGAGTGATGACAGGATTATAAAAAGCAGTAGATTTATCAATATCAAATAACTAAATTAGCTAATACTCTCTCCTTATCATGTAGAAAAATAAGCAGAATTTTAATGTTCTTTGTTATCTTGTTCTGCTAATTTAAAGTGAAATCGAAGTGTACTTAAAAATCTATTGGATTTTTAATTATGCTTACAATAACAATATAATTTATTGCCCTAGCCAACTAGCTCTATTTGAAAAGTACGATTCATCCCAGTCCAGTAGGTGTGAACAGATAACAGACCACACATTATCGTCAATCAATTCTGCCAGTGTTTCTGTTCTAGGCCATGAGTTTTTCAGTGACTTTCATGAGCAAGGCTGTCGACTTAAATATCAAATAACATTTAGGCAAAGCTTTTGCATTACATTTTATGTTAGAGGTAAGAGGACAGCACTATCAGAAAATCGTAACAGCTATATACACCTGATAATTCAGCCCATTTCACATTTGTTTAACTGCAGGTGACAGTTTGCTGGGTTGACAATGCCAACCTTCCATGCCAGATTGTTACTCTGTAGTGTATGTACTGAAACGATTTATAAATGGACTCGTAAATGGACTCGTAAATGGACTTGTAAATGGACTAGTAAATGGACTTGTAAATGAACTTGTAAATGGACTGACTCGGCGCATGCTAGTTCGTAGCACTTGCCTCAGGCCAGTGTAGTATTTCTTAGCTGGGGACCCCAGGCTATTATATTTATGTTCATTATAGAGATTCGGCGGAATGACAGGCTGAGCGCCACCCAGTAAAGTATTTCGAGAAGAAAGTGACAAGCTACTTTGAAGAAATTTAAACGTATATCATCCGTCAATAAGCAAGAGCATCAACTTGAGGGTGAACATTTAATGTCCAACACCCCGACATTTTATAGCTTGTTGGAAATATTTTATTGAGTACCAGAGTCGCCTAGTACCAATTTTTGGGCAAACGACTTTTACTGCTTTTATCGAAAGTTATAACCCGTCAAAGTCTCATAAATACTTAACAGGTGATACTCGTAGAATATTTGTTAACAAATATCCCGTTGTGGGGGTCACAACGGGATACAATGCTATTTTGGGAATGTAAGCAGCTCTTTTGCAACACCGAATTTGTGCATACCCTTTGAAATGATTAGTGAGTTTCGCTTAAGTGCCATATTTAATGACACGCGGCTCTCGACGAAATTCGTTTATTTTTGTTGTATTATTTCGTCATATCTTCGGTTCCTGGAATGGGGTCATTTTGAAAATTTGTAAGTACCTTCTTATTCATAATTGAACTTAAGAAACTTTTCGGAAAAGTTGATGGATATCTTGTCATACGTTGTATGATCCGCCGCGCACGATGCACGAAGTGCGCGGCTCCCCCTGTATCGTTAGGCCAGGACGATAAAGTTAAACAACCGTTAGGGGTCGCAACGTGATACAATGGATATCGGAGTCGATATAATAATGAAAATTGCATTGGGCAAAAGGTAATGCTTTGAGTTTAGTTTGAGTTGCAATACACACTGCAACCCCTTTTGATCGCGCGCGATCAAAAGGGGCCGCGTGCACGAAAGAGGTATGCAACGTGTAGCAAAGTTTGAGTTGTAGCGCTATGCGTTACTGTGCCGCGCCGCGCACTCAATGGGGCTTCTCGCTTAACGGGTGATACTCGTAAAATATTTGTTTCAATTATTTTGTAGCGCGATGCACTACTGGGTCGTGCGCGCATCCAATAACGCTTCTTGCAACCACTTATGCAGATCGGCAAGAAAACAACAATTTCAAGAAAACAACAATTTTATTTAGTATCAGTTAAAGCAGACAAAAACATATTTTATAAATATAACTAGTGTAAACTTGAGACCATTTATCTGAGGGGACTTGGAGTAGCAAGAGAGTGACCAGAAAGTATATGTATACTTTTACCAAAAATATGTCGAAATGAATCCAGGGTGATACAGGCTCTGAGAGTGCAGACCATAAAGTTTACGCACCCACCCTTGCCTCCTGAATTCTTGGTTGGATAGACAATTATGCAAAATTGGTCGTTTATACTCCAAGTCCCTTTGTTAATAGAAGTAGTATTATTTATGTCTGGAGTTAGTTTCATTCATTAATAACAATATCAATATAATCAATATTAATATCAATATCAGACTAAACTATCAAATAAATAAATTATCAAATATCAATTATTAATTCACTCTGATTAAAAAGTTATAAATTAGGATATCTAATATTTAAGAATTACAACTACAAGTTGTTAAAAACGCCCAAAATAGATCTGAGATATTTTCAATCTGTAGTACAATAATGATAGCAATAGTTTAAATTATGTGCCGCTGCAATTAGATTAAATTACTGTAACTTAAAATTGTTTGGAGTCCAAGTATCTTTTAAGTCAGCAGCCTGTGATTGTATTAATAGTGCTTTCGTTCTCAATTTTATCAAGTTAATGGAAGTTTCTAGACAATTGCTTGAAGTTAAAATTTTTTTATGAACAGTGTTTGTAGGTAATAAGCAATGAAACCCAGTAATCGTATAACCAAGCTGAAATGATCTATATCAATGTATAGTAAATAATACCTTTAGTCAATCTGAATAACTCACAATACTTCTATAAAGAGTAAAAGGGATAAACCCATAAACACTTGACGGAGAGAAAGTAACTCACCAAGAAAGCTCCGTCAAGGATCGTAAGCTTAAGGAAAACATGGGGTTACATAAAGATATATCCTAATATAGGAAATCTAGAGAAAAGGATATATGACAATATCCCGCCTAACAATATCCCGCCTAACAAAGTTAGAAAACTAGAAACGATTAAATCACCCAGAGGAAAGACAAAGCATTCTTGCTTGATTAAAATATTAAAATGGGATACTCAATATCTCTCACTATAAACTCTAACAAATATAAAAGCATAATTAAAAATACACTCTCATAATATTATCAAATAAGTAGAATAAAAAACCCCGCAAATTATAAGTTCATCAAATATAATAAATAAATCTCAAGTAGTCACCAATGCCAATTAAAACACAGCATCTCTTACAATAAATGTCTTTTACAATACAATACAAAAGTCCATGGCCAATTCAGTTTTGAAGATAGCAGAGTAGAAGAGTAGAGAGAATCATCCACCAGAAGCATACACAAAGAAAACTTACAGCAGGAGAGAAGAGCAAGACACTTCAGCCATCATACACACCAGATGACTTACTTCAGATCATCGGGCACCTTAAACAAGCCCAACTGTCCAATAAGAAGGTTAACTCAAGTTTTTTTTCTGGGAAAGACAACACCCTCTCTACTCAACACGCCAACAGTCAAAACACCGGTTTAGAATAGGACCAGGCATAACCAGGAAGAATTAGTGTTGAATAGGATGAATATTCAGCTTTCCAGTCTGAATAACAGCCAGTAAATTTTCCACTGGATCTTTATTCTTTGGACTTTTGGTAAGACAGTCAGCTAGTTGCTGAGGATCAGGAATCCATACAACCTTGTTTATCTCCTCATCGTCTATAATCTTTCTGAGATATGCAACTTGTACTCTCATCTTTAAGTCAACAGATGGATTAGTAGAGTAGATGTTCTCTTTTACAGATAAATTGTCAGTTAAACCAATGATAGGAACAGTGTCTTTTGTCTTATTTTGAGATAGACATAGAGCGGTGATGATAGTCTCTCGTATCAGATAAGCTTCATCCAAACATTCACCAAGAGCCATGGCTTCTGCATAACTGATGGTCTTGGTAACTTTTTTGATCTTTCTTGAGCACCATGATAAAATTCCTGCACTGTCTCCACTAACGAGAAATATAGCGTGCCCGCGTGCACTTGATGTCCTACCAGGGAGCATATTAAGCGAAGCATCAGCATAAGCATAGATCTTTAATTGAGAGATGTCTTTAGACAAGGATGGAAGCATTATGGTTACCGTTTGCTTCTTTAATTTCTTGACAATAGCATTTAGATTTATTAAATCAGAAACTCTAGGCTTTGCTGCTTTCATACTGCTTTCGAGGACTTTGTAGCGTAGGTCAGGGCGGCTTTGAGATGTTATCCACTGAAGCTTGCCTAGTAGTTGTTGAAACTCAGTCTTCTCAAGATCGCTCAGTTCATAATCAGGTTGGTTTCTCCTTCCTGAGCTTATACTTACAGGGCTAATTTTAGTTTCTTGGTAATCTATTTGATCAATAGTCACGGTATTATTAGATACAGCAGATTGTTTTATGTTCCAACCAACATAGGTGAAGTCACCGTACTCCTCTGTTCCAATCTGAAACTTCTCTTTCAATCTCCTTAAAACTTTTTCATGGAAGTCCTTATTTCCCGCCGCTAAGAAATCGTCCACATGCACATTTAGGAAACCCGAGAATTCTTCATTGGGTTGGTACACAAAAACTGACTTGTCAAGTGGCATCTGAACACAACCATAAAGAATAAGCTCTTCTTTCACCGTCATATACCATGCCCTGGCAGCATCATTCAGGCCATATACAGGCTTCTTGAGTCTCCAAACCATGTTGTTATCAGTTCTCTTCTCCTTTGGGGGTTTAACCAATATCAACCTATCCAAAGGCTTGGACTGCAAAAAGGCAGCACGTACGTCAATGCACAATAGTTTGTACTCAAACATGTTAGCTAGCATGATGAATGTTCTTGTGACACATTTACCAGCTGTAGGTGAGTCAGCTACCTGAGGATTGGACTCCTGGAATCCTCTTATCACAAGGCGAGCTTTGGTGCATAAACCCTCTGGTTTCTCCTTTTGATTTATAACCCAACGACATGATAAC